TGTATCCTAACATGTATAATCTATGTACCAAGTTTGAATGACAACTGACAAAGCATGTCCAAAATACAACATTTTCAAAAAACAAGATGGCTGCCAGTCGGCCATTTTGAATCGAATCGCTAAACCACTGCATGTGCATATGTCCCACATAAGGTACTAGGCACATGCAAAGAATGAACGGAATCGGCCCACAGGATTCTGAAATATGACGTTGGATAGACTGACGCACGGACAGACGGACACACGGACGGTCGGACGGACAGACTCAGGAACTCACGGATGGTCTGGGACATGTATCCTAACATGTATGATCTATGTACTAAATTTGAATGAAAACTGACAAATCATGTCCAAAATACAACATTTTCAAAAAACAAGATGGCTGCCAGTCGGTCATCTTTGATCCAATTGTGAAATAAATCATCATGGACATGTATCCTAACATGTATAATCTATGTACCAAGTTTGAATGAAAACTGACAAAGCATGTCCAAAATACAACATTTTCAAAAAACAAGATGGCTGCAAGTCGGCCATTTTGAATCGAATCGCTAAACCACTGCATGTGCATATGTCCCACATAAAGTACTGGGCACATGCAAAGAATGAACGGAATCGGTCCAAGGGATTCTGAGATATGACGCCGGACGGACGCACGGACGCACGGACGCACGGACGGACGGACGGACGGACGGACGGAGACTGAATTATAAGTCCCCGTTTTCGGACTTCGTCCGAACGGGAACTAATAAAATGCAAATTTCTCCATTTCAAACACATGCAGACAAGGCATGATTTTATACATTGAAAAAAAAAACTTAACAAATATTCTGTTCTCTGATTGGTCTAACTGTTAGGTGTTGGGGTTGGGTAGCCAATCAGGCACAATCTTTCAAAGAGCTTTGCATTGACTCTATATTTACCGATTTTTGATGGTATTAACATCCACTCTATCTTTTGGAGGAAGTAAATATTGAAAAATATGGTCAGCCAGATGGTCAGACCAACCCAGAATAGGACCACAGGTGTTTCTACGATTATTTTATTGGTTCATACAAAACAAATTAATCTTGTATATATGTGTACTGTATTTGCTCTATTAGAAGCGCACTACAATAAAAGCAGTCAGCATATTACAAAACTTAACAGCTGCTGTGTTGGTGTGTGGTTTTCGATTGATTGCTGTTTAACATCACACCCGTGGGACGAATGACCCTGACCCCCTGACCTCTACGTATTGGAGTATAGATACAAATTGATACTGGGTAATTCAATTCATGGAACATCACAACATTTCATTGACAACCACATCTGGACCATCACCATGGCAACCCACTTTGTACAGCCCATACATTCAGGGGTTGTAACACATTTGTCATAATGTATACAAGGTCACTAGACGGAGTTTAATTGGTTTTGGGGAAAAAAGATTAAACTCCTTTCCACAAAAATGCATTTGGGGGATTTTGTATTATTATTACAGCTGTAGTTTGGACAATTTACATTACCACTAAAATTGAAAGTTGGCTTGCTCTTATGGCGAAATGGGATTAGACTTGAGCAAGTTATAGCACACACATTAATGTAATTGGGAGTATCCCCGCAGGAATTAAATTACACACATCAACGATGAATTTAATTCATTTGTTGTGCATTTGTGGACAAGGGGGGTTCATTTGACAACACAACTGCACCAATACCAAAGATTGATCGGGTATTACCGTGAAATGAATTATTGTCATTACTGTTATTCCTCTGCAAATTTGTAATAACACAGATGCTCAACTTTTCCTTGCCACTGACTAGACATTTATTGTGCAGCATTTTATACAATGTTAAACTTCTTTAAATTCTGAAATGAACATATAAAAGCATATATGCTTGTTTCATCAACACAATTGCAGGATCCAATTATTCTAATCACATTAGTTTTTCCGGGCTCTGAACAAATACTGGTAAACGAAATGAACATTTTTCTTCATTGTAGAAAAGGGCCATTTCGACATTTGTCAAGTTTTCAAAAAGTAAATTTTTGTTAGAACAAAATACAAATTTATCTATTTTTGAAAACCATCACAAGTATATCAAAAGTTAGCAGAAGGTACATTTCATGAATTGGCGTGGATGAAATTTCACAAAATCTTTGCAATGTCCAGTATTATAAGAGCACTGATCAACAATTGTCTCTCATGGAAGTAATCTGGTTTACAGCATATTTTTATCTTTTCTCGCCGAAATTTTGCTTTAATTCTCCTGAACATTTTTTAATTTTGACAGGCAGACAGGTCTCGATAAATATGCAGAATAATTTCATGATTGTTGACTTTCTAAAAGGGTCAAAATCTTATTCTGAACAAGATTTGCAAAATGACATGTATTCAACCATGACTGTTGGTGGAATTTTCAAGAGAACAACATTTTTGAGAGTTTTTTCATTTTATGAGCATCGAAAACTTCAATGATTGAATTTACATTCCGAATGATAAAGTCAACTTTTATTAACATTAAGCCACATAAATTTTTGTTATATTTTAGTAAAAAAATTGATCAAGACTGATAAGCCCGACATGTAGACAGGAGTGGCACACTCGCCGGCCGAACAGCATCAGACCCCACTAACGCCTAACAGAGTTTATGTATTGTCGGCAAGAGCAATACTGCGAATTCGAAAAGTTAACACCTTCTTGCAATGATTTTCAATGAATATTCATTTTGGTGGTCATGGTACCACCGTCAATCAAAGCAATGTTTGCATTGTCGGCAAAAATCACTGCTTTCAAGAAGATGATAAACTTTGCCGTGAATGGTTACTCTTTGATGGCTGTCACTATCTGATGTTCCTTCAATTTGATTGGTTACCAACAAAAAATCATTGGGGGAAGTGAAACACAACATCATTCTGTTAGTGTGTTGGGTTTGGAGCACTCACGTGACATTGTCAGACTAGGCCGATAGTTAGTGGAAAAAATTAAAGCGTTTCAAAAGGTTAAAGATGCAATATGGATGACAACATTTAAAAAAATTGTTTGATATTGCATGTTAATGAATATTCATTGTGATTTATCTTGCACATAATAGTAAACCTTCTACGAAACAAAAAATTATACATTTGCAACAATTGTACATTTTTATTACCGACAGATAACCCCCAAGTTATCAATATTTAGTTTGAATCACATAGCAACCTTTCAAAGCAACGACACAATATATTTTATATACTGATACCAATTTTATTGGATATATATCTTCATTTTACAAAAAGAAAAAAAAACAGGGCACACAGACTACGAAAGTTGAATATAATAACCACTTACGAAACCATCAATTCTAGATACAACTATCAATCTCAAAGGCGTGTCCAGATAATAGTCGGTTAAATTTGTAATACAAAAAGAAAAAAAAAAACACCCACTCTTTGCGGTCCGTTGAGCACAATACCTAACACTCAAGTATAAATTCTTATACATTTTTGACAAAAAAAGTCACCACCCCATCCCTGCTCACAAAAACCACATCAATAATTACAAATATTTGAAGATTGTTACTGTTAATACTGTTACTATTTATAGTCATGATGTTACTATAGTTACGCAGTCCCCAAAATATTGAACTCCCGTTGATCACCAGAGCTACAAAGTTCATTCACTTGATATACACTGGAACGACAACAATGAATGTCTTTGTATATAATTGGAACAAAAGGACAAACACCAAATTTTTAATTAATAAACAATTAGTGTCGTAGGAAAAAACCAACTGCTGCTGCTGCTGTATACCTAAATATTAAATTTAAAAAAAAAAAAAAGAATTTCGATATGCTTTTTTTGGAACCAAAAACATGCGAATGGTTTTATACTTTATAGAAAAAATAAAAGGCACTCTTGTGGTGGTCTTTGGAATATATTAATCACAAGCCGAGAGAAAAAGAACTAAGAAAATCAAATTGGATATCAAAAGAAATAGATTGTCACAAAAGTAAAGACAGCAGCAGTTCCATGTGGTAAAAACACTCTGATTTACCGCAACAAGAAATTTGACAAAATACAGCATTGGGACAAACGGTGTGCATTTCCATCGCTATACACATTTCAGAATTTTTGATCAACACCTGCAAGGGACATTTTGTTCCAAATTATCATAAACCGGTAAACATTGACACCCAAAATTTGGCTTGAAAAAATGTACGCTGTGATAAAGGTTTTGAGAAGACTTTTCACACAGCAAAGATTAATGTTGACGTGAGACACATAAAATAATAGCCTCACATGTACTCCTTATATTTATCAACTAAATAGCGTCGCAGTTAATCTCACTTGCAGGACCATGCTTACTGAATTCATAATTTTTAATTTTATATTTTATCACTCCCATTTCTAGTACCTACCAGTTCGTGTTTCCTCTGACAGAAATGGAAACAGGGAAAAAATACAGAACGTTGAAAAATTACATTTACAATTTGACACCAACAGGTGGCGCTGTCTCACAAGTGAAATGAAAGTCCACCTTCCATACTGTAAGGACAGCAACCTCGCATACCATTAATTCCATCAATGTTGTAGATTTCACAACAATAAATCTAATATTTTTATAAATATTTAAAGCATAGGTTCATCACTCTTCTAAAATGGTGAAAAAGCAAACTGAACAAGATGAGGTGAAAGGACTAGGCACTGGGTTCACTAGAGATAAGAAACCACACACACACATACACACGTAGTTAATAGTATTGCTTAACTGGGCTACCACTGGCTAACCTATTCACCTCCCAACATTGAACATGATGAACAACGACACTGAATCAGCAGCGGCGATGGCCACAATGCCGAAAACAGTAACTTTTATAATGGTAGAAAATCAATGGAAGATACCCAGTGAAGATAAACAACATTGAAAACAATGATTGTCCATTGCAACGTTACTGAAATAGCCATCAATTTTAACACACACCAAGTGCAGCCGCAAATAAAAACTTGTTTTTTCCTCTTTAGAACAGCACATAGATGTTGATTTCATTTTGCACAATTGCTTCTACAGTTATTGCATGTCTGTCTTCGTTTTCCTCGTCTGACAATGAGGTAGTAGATCGGAAAGGGATAAAATCACGCAATGATTTCGCGGTCAAGTACTCCTCTGTATTCGGACATTATTGTCTTGTGACCGAACAGTTGTGTTATCATTCATGCTTGTTTTGGCAACGCATCACACAAAGCAGCTTGTCATTATTGATGCCATCCCCCCAAAAAAGTGTTATGGTCCATCCACACAATCAATAGTAGTAGATTCCATTTATATACAGGGGTAAATCCCCCTAATCAGATTGAGCAGACGAGAGTTCTGAGGCATCAGCACGGCATATTGGACAGGTACGGTTTGTCTTCAACCACTTATCAACACATTTTGTGTGGAATTCGTGGTTGCACGTTAGTACACGTAGTAACTGGCGCTGTTCGAAATCACACATACAGACAACACAGCTGCAAGAAAAGTGAAAAAAACAATGTCAATAATTTGACTAAAGCATATACATACAAAAGGATTATTGAAATTTGAGATCACATTACACAGGGGAGTGACAAAATTGTATGTCCGGTAATAAACTGTTTTGCGCACCAAAACCGCAACATAGCCAGATAAGTTGCTGACTGGCTTGCAATGTTCGTCTTGAGATCATTACATAATTAGAACTGGTTAGTTCAAACCATTTTTATGCATAGCAAACCAGTCAGCAACATGGCTTACAATATTGCTATTTTGGTGTTCAAAACAATATGGTGGAGACAACACTAGTACAAGTCTAAGTTCAAATCAGTCATTCATTCATTCATTCATTCATTCAGAGCCTGTACCAATCTATAAAATGCTCAGATATTGCAACTTTCTATTGTTTACATCCAACCAATGCGTTCATAGATAGATAATACGTTAAAGGATGAAGGAGAATTGTGCAGGTCGTACATGTATTTTTTCCTTCAAATTCCAACTACATGTACGAAAGCAAGCACCACACATGCAACTCAGTATTTAACTTACCACGTTTGATCACTCCCCGATTGGTGGGTGTCGGGATTGTATCTATATGACGGCAACTGTTCAATGTCTGCCTTTGTTAAACCCCTAGGTTTTGCCTCTCCGAGTCTCTCAGCGAGATTCAATAATGCCTATGAAAAAAAAAAAATCATCAGTAAAGGACATTGCGTCATTGTGTACGTGTGCTCACAGAAATTAATCGACTTAAAGACAATGTGTGCACTGATATCTGAATTAACACGACATATTGACAAATGTTTTATTAGTTCATTTTAATGAG